TTACCGGGGTAGCCTTTACCTTAACCACTGTGATAGGTATCTCTAAGTCATTCAACGCGCCGATCCTAATAACATCCTTATTATAGTTAATAGAGGCTCCGTAAGGTTTAAGCTATACGTTACCGAGTAAGGCGTTAGAGCCGACGGATAGTAGGACCTAAGCCCTAGATTAGAACTTAGCTATAATATTCTGACTGTTCTATCGGCTAGCGGCGAAGAAGGTAAAGATCGCGAATTCGTTTATAGCTATCTTCCCTCTATCGACGCCTCGCATTATCGCGTGGTATCGACGTTCGATCGTATAGTCGAATTATTAAAGGACTTTAGCGTTAATAACGGGCGTGCCGTAGCCGGAGTTAAGGCATATAGCGATTAATAGTCTATTAGCGGAGGGCTTGACCTCTATCCGTATTAGTAAGAAGTTATTATACGCTATACGTGAGCGGCTTATAAAGGCGGCTACTTTAATTACCGTTAGCGAGGCCTTAACTTCGATAATTAGGGTATTAGTAGCATAAGGCTATCGCTTAGTATTAGTGATCTAGGCTTCGCGTTATAATTAAGCCGTTAATATATATATATATTACTTAAAGTATATAACTTCTAGCTATCTTCGTTATCGAACCTTTGGGTATAGGTATTATATTTAAACCTTCCCGTAGTCTTCGTAATATTAGTAACCGATATAATAGCGGTAGCTATTATATTAACGAAGGTAGTAGCCTACGTCGTGGCTTTACCCTCGCGGGTTATTACGAAATTAATAACTTCCTCTTAGCCGTCGGTAGTATCGTCCTCCGTTACGTTATTCTTATATTCTTCTTCGAACTTAACCTCCTTACGGGTTCGGAAGCCTTATCTATCGTCACGCTTACTATAGTCGCGGTTATAAGTACGATTATTATCGCGGCGACTATTATTATCGCGGCGGCGATTAAATAAGCGTGCGTTATCGCGGTCGCGGCTGTCACCGCGATAGCTGTTATAGCTGCCCTTACGGCTGCCAGACCCGCGGTTCTCGTAGCGAGAGTTATAGCGTTATAGTCGTTTATCTCGGCCGCTATTAGAAGTATAGTCGTCATAGCGTCGGAAGTTACCGCGCTCGTCCTCGCGTCGGAAGTTACCGCACGCGCGCTAGCCTCGTAAGTCGTAAGAATAGCCGCGAGGTCGCGTGGCGTTAATAGCCCGGGCATCGATTATCTATCTACTATCAATAAAGTATCTGATCTATCGCTCTAAGGACTAGCTAGAAGTCGGGCGCTAGGTTACTAACAAGATCTCGCCGTTAATTAACGGCCAGATAGCTTAAATAATATCTCTGTCACGCTTCAGACCTATCTAGCGTGCTAGGGCTGCCTTATGTTAAATAAAGGTAGTAATTAAGTCGCCGGTAAGCTAGTTAGAGATACGGTATTTACCGTTAAATAAACGGCTACTAGCTTCGGCCGCGGATAGCTTGAATCTCTTATTAAGCTTCTTATAGAAGGTCTTAATAGATCCGCGTTTAATCCGGCGGCGTTCTTCGCTTATTAGCTCGGTTATTATCTATTTATAGCTGGCGCCGGCTAGTAAGGTACTATATCGTCCTTAAAGCCCGTATTTATCGCCTATCATGTATTCCTTATATCGGGCTATAAATATCGCCACGTCCGTATAGATCGGGTCTTTACCTTACGGCGTGAGTAAGCCCTGTTCTTTATAGTCTAGGTAGTCGGGGTCGAATTTACTAATAAGCTCGTTCTTTAAGCGCTTCGAGATAGAGAGCTCTAGGTTAGGTCGGAGAGGCTCGAGTCCTAGGCTATCTTCCGATTAATAACCGCGATCGTCGCGGTTATTACTATTATCGCGGTCGTCGTCCGAGCTACTACTTAGGTCCGAGTCCTTACTATCTAAAGGGTTATAGCGTGATTGTCTTGGTTAGCCTAACAATAGGCCACGACCTCTTCCTCGTCCTCGACCACGGCCTCCTTATTAGCTATAGGGCCGCGCTAGTAGCGGCGGCTTATCTATAAGCTTATCGGCAGGCTTGTTAGTAGGCTTATCGGTATTTGTCTTCTTAGTCTTTATTATAAGGGGTAGTAGCGGGGGCCTATCGTCCTCGGGTTCCTCGTTATCTACTAAGGCTATAATAGGGATATAATACTCGTCTTCCTCTTTACCCGTTATTATAATAAGCGGGTTCTTATATTAAAAGTAACTAGCGTTCTTCTAAGTATCGAGGTATTCTTTTATAAAGTTTCGGCTTATTAATACTATTTCGAGTAAGTATTCGTATTAAGGGTCTTCCTTCGCTAATATAACCGTAATATTACTATAAGCGATCGCGATATGGTTATCTACGATTATTAGGTATTAGTAACTCTAGATATCGCTTCGGTAGCTCTCGATAGCCTTTAATAGCGCTACTCTATATTTAATAAACTATTAATAACGGTCGTTTTCTAAGGCCTCCTTAAGGGTGCTCGTCGAGTCGGCCTTAGTTAATAAGTATCTCTTTATCTTTAAGCGGGTGACCCTACGTAGCGTTATATCGCCGAAGAGGTCTTTTGGTAAGGGGTCGACTAGGTCTTCGGATAGCTCTCTAGATAGCGGCGCGTTACTTTATAGATCGGCGCCGTATATAGTAATAAAAGATTTATTAGGCCGAGAGGAAAGAAAGTCTAGTAAAGGAGGAAGGTCCGGTAAGGCGGGTTATAGCTATAGTAGTAATAGAAGAGTTAAGTCTTTTTCCTAACCGCCGGAAAATTCGTTAGCCCTCCTCTACGACCCCGCTATCGTAAGTATAGACCTAGAAGGCTTAGGTATATTAAAGGTTATAATTTCGCGATATCTAGTAACCGATAATAAGTCAGAACGTTAGTAATAATATAGTAGTTTAAGTATATTTACTAACAGACTTAGACTCTACTATACTTAACCGTGTTCGCTAGGGTAGCGCCTAGTAATTTATCGTTAGCCACCGGGAGGCTCGCCTCTTAGGAAAGGTAGCGTAAGCTCTCTCTGTCTCTAGATCTATCTCCTTATAGGACTAGTTAGTATTCAGACCCTCCTCGGATAAATCTAGCTAACTAATACTACTTAGTAAAGTAAGGTAAAGATTAAGATAGTGATTCTTTTGCTATTATATTGATTTTTTAGACTTTAAAAGAGTACGCGAAAGTAAGTAATTCCCGCGATATAAGTAAGGGCTCTCTTTATAGTATTATACTTAACTATACGCGCCTCTTACAGTAATATATACACTACGCCCTACTTTTATTAAGAGGTGCGTAGTTTAATTTACCTATAAGGTAACGCGCGCGTGTTTTTTACTAATTAATAGCCGCGATTATAGCATAATTAGTACGGTCGTAGCGTAATTAGCGGCTTAATCGCGCGTTAATTAAGGCTCTACGCGATAAGGTGCTATAAGGCTGATCCTTTATAGGGAAGATTAGCCTAATTATAGTATAGGTAGGGGAAGTTATTACGCTATTTATTACAGCCCCTTAGCGCTGATTTAATAAGCGCGCGACAGAATATAAGGGGAACGAATAGCTATAAAATACTAGGGAACTTCCTATAATTAATCGAGTAATTATTTAAGGTTATTTAATTAATAAAGGAGTTAAGAATTACTATTACTCTAATATACTAAAGGTAGATTAAATAGGTAGAAAAGGATAATTAATTTAAACATCCTTAGGCAGCTAGTCGGCCAGCCTAAATAGGTATAGCGTGGCTGCTCCTCGGATCGTGTGCGCGCAGCCTGATTAGCTGCGGCGTTATCAATGCTATCTTATCGCTATCGTACCTGTGCGTGTACGTGACCAGCACGTGACACCCACACACAGCGTAGATGTATCTTGGTTGAATGGCCACACAACCTCCAAAGTGTATCAGTTATTAAATTAGCGGGTGGAAATAAGTATATCAAGGGCCGGGGAACGTCCCTAGTAAATTTACACTAATATTAGCTATTTTAGTCGATATATAGAATTAGCGCGACTAAAAACTTTTGAGAGCGTCCTCCGTACAAGAAAAAATATATCAGCGTCCAAGCCGGCTCATTCACGACGCCCATGGACAAATATGCCGAACCAGAGTGGATATCATCGGGAAGGCTGCTGTAAACTCTGCTAGTTTCATGCTCGAGTAGCCAAGGTTTAGGGCTTGTATTTGATTGGTCGTTGGAACATGCTCGCGCAAGGGAGCGAATCTCGCCTCCGCACTTGGTAGGGGATCGATCCACTGGAGCTCCTGTTAGGGCAGATGCATGCTGTGATTGTGGAGAAACGGGAATGCAGAGGCTGGCTGTGAGGCCGTCGTGGGGTAACATAGGAGTTGGAGCGAGGAGCCGGGCTGCTGAGGGGGGTGATTGTGTGGTCACCCAAGCAGCACTAACAGTACTAGTCTGGGCAATCGCGGTGTGCTGGGGGAACGTCGCGGTGACAGCCTGACCTCCAGCCTGACCTCCAGCCTGACAGGCCTCCAGTCATTTAGCCATTCTTAGCGTCAACGCCTGCGTCACATCCTTAGCTGGACGGACGTCCAAGCTGAGCTTCCCTTGGCCCTCATTCAACTTGACGATGGCTGGAGGTGGGCAAAAGTCCGAGTCCTCCATGCGTTCTCATGGGAAAAAGGGGTGCTCATGCCATTGTCGGATTCCCTGCGAGCCCTCTAGCAGACAGCCTCGCGACGTTTTCAGAAGGTCCGCCTCCTGGATTGTATGGTGCGCTTTGCTTCCACTCACCAGAGCTTCGAGTCATTCCAGGGTGATTGAAGGCTTTGCACTAAGAACAGATAGTTACGCCACCGCATTCAGCTGAGCTTACCGGGTGGTGGACCGCTTCCGGCAGCTGGTTTTCGGTGCACCTGGAGGAAGCCGCCATAGGCACGGATGTGGCCTATATCAATGAGCAAACCGCCATGCATTTGTCACAGGATGTCGCGAGAAGAATCGGTGGCATCCACCGTCAAACTGTTGCGTAGGAAAAGAATCTACTTGTTCACAGGACGTCATGAAAAGGGGCTTCCTTGCGCTTCTGGGCGCTACCCTCGTGGCTGCTACAAAGCCGAGCCGCGGCTGGCGTGCCTCTGTCGATACCACCGATGTCGGGTTCGCTACAGACCAGACTGGGGACGGCCAGTTTGGTCTCTTTGTTGTTGCGCCCATTGTCCTGACGCGTCTCTTCTCCCGGGAGAGTAGCGTCGTTGTCACAGGCACCGTCCAGCCAGTCGGCAACACCACGGACGAGGACATTGAGTACGAGCCCCAGGTTGCTTTTACCGAAACCATTTCCATTCCTGGCGATACGGCGACGCAGGATGCAAGCTTTGACTTCACCATTCCGACACCGTGGATGGATCACCTGCTGTCCCTCTCCGTCTCTGTCCCAGGCACCCAAGATACCACCGAGACAGACGGGCTTGTCATCACTCTCGATTCGAATGGTGACTATGTCGCCAAGACGCCAGGGGAATGGGACCACGACGAGAATATCCGGATCATTGCGGAGCTCGAAGCAGAGACAGTCCGGATAATACCACAGGACCCCAGCGATCTGGGCGAGGATCCTGAGATTTCCGATGAAGACGAGTATCCAGTCAATGGTGTACCAAAGGAAGGAGACGACTCTGGCGGGGATCCAGGAGATGGCTCTGGCGGAGACCCTGGAGATGGCTCGGGGGGAGACCCAGGAGACGGTAAGACAACGAAAATCATCGTCACCAAGACGACAACTGTCTGCCCTACACCAACACCAAAACCGCCATGTGACGACGACCGGCTGCATCCACGTCAGATCGTTTTGTCACCAGCCACTGTCAATGCCAAGGTGACCTTCACCGGCTGGAACAAGAACGTTCAGGATTTGCGCTTGGTGCAGGTGACAGCCTGGGGCAACGTCTACAACTCGGCGGGCGGCTTTGTGGAGCGTGTCAACGCATTTGAGACGCTGGATGTTCGGGGCAATGCGCAGTTCCGCTTCGACCTCCGCGCAGGGCAGCGCATCGTGGTCAACCGCCTGGTGGCACGCTTGGAGGGTGTCAAGTATATGGTGGGGACCAGGAAGACGGAGTCCGATCCTCTCGTTCGCAAGACCGTCACCATGACCCTCAATGTCAACCCGTGGAACGTCAACGCTGGCGAGACCAAGTCTTATACCAACAAGTATCCACGCAATGTCCATTTTGATGGCCTCCTGGTGGCTGATACCTTCCAGCGTATCATTGACTTTACCCGCTTCAACATTGTCGGGAGCGCCGCGATCAACAAGGTGAATGTCTGGTTCCCCTCGACCGACCCGGGCACCTTCTTCAGCTCTGCACCAGTCTACATCAACATCCCCCACGACGACGCCAGGGATCCCGATGTCCTCGCCCACGAGTACGGCCACTACCTCGACTTCCTCGCTCGCGATGGGGCAGACTTCCAGGCGGGGGGAAACCACACCTCCTGCGGGTCACCCAACGACCAGACTGCCCTAAGCGAAGGGTACGCCACGGCCTTTGGCCTCCTTGCCCTCGACAAAACCCTGCTCTCCAACACCGTCTACGGGCAGTACACGGATAAAAGACCTGATGGTACCCTGCAGGTGAACAGGCAATTCGAGACATATGCCTGCAACAGCCGGACTCTCCAGAATGACGAAGGCCGCATCACGGCCGCCATATTTGACCTTGGCGATCGCAAGCTCGATGCCAGCCAGGCCGCGAGTGATGATTCGGGTCAGATCTGGGACACTTTCCAGGTCTCCGATATCAACATCAAGTTCAAGCCCAGACTGCTCTTCTGGAGCGCTCTGAGAGACAACCCACAGACCATGACGGAGTACTGGGGCGCCATCCGGGCTCTGATGACGGTTAACGCAGAGCAGAAGGCATGGAACGTCCTCAGGTACAACTGGGCTGAGATTCCACGTTCGCCGGCAGCTCCATAGGGCTCAGGTCTGACTTTAGATTGATCAAGTCGCGCGAGAGATGTTCCCACGCCAGTGTCCTTGAATTTGTCAAGTCCTGGTCGCCCATTCCTCTTTGTACTAATGAGAATATGTTGGAAGTTTCCTTGTCTTATCAATTAATTATTCAGAACATCATTTAAGCCCGCGCCAAGTAGTGAATATCATCTCACTAGCATTTAGCGCCCAACACGAACTCCCCAACGCCGTGGATCGGCCAGCTCCTTCGACCCGCCTCCCAACCGCCAAGACCCCCGTCATATTGTTCTAGAGGCTCTCCATTCCCTTGAGCTCGGCTTGGAGAGACAACATGAACCGGCCAGCCATGTCCTCATCTACCCGTGTACGGACGATGCTCTTCTCTGCTGCCGTGTCTCTGCTCATACCCAGGCTATTCTACCCGAACATCTACTCGAAACTGAACATGCTCATCCCGGGACACGCAGACCTGATTCAACCATAGGAGGAACGCCTCCTTGTCGGGGATCGCCTTGCCCGTGGCGGCAAAGACACCCGCCGCCAGCCAGACCTCTCTCGAACCGCCCCTCGCGACGTGGTGCCTCACACGGGGTCAACGTCCTTGGCGACATGATGTTCGTGTTGAGATCGGCTCTCAGCGCGAAATACTCTGCTTTCTGGGCATGCTCAGCGCCAGACAGTCCATCGCTGAGATCACGGATGCCACATGTGCCGGCGGTCGACCTCACGAGTTTGATACACCTCACTCGGCAGCACCCTTCAGACGTGGTCTCAAGGTTCTCCGGAACTTCTGGGACGTGGTAGCCCTGCCGAGTCAAGAAGTCTTAGTATGTTATCTAGTCTGAGACTTGTATGAAGACGTGGAACCTAGCACGATACTACGAGTCGGGCAAGGGCTGCTTAGGGGAATCCGTTGCTTCTCTGGCCTTTCTAAGTTCCCACTTAAGGGGTTGAGAGCGGCCATGCCTTTCTGTGGTGCGCTGATATATCGCGCGTAAATAGGGATTGTGTGTCGTTCAGTTTCAAGTTGATATACTTGCTGATGGGGTTGTCCCTGGTGCCTTTTTTAAGTTCAGGTCAGGTTCTACCGTGAGTAGTCGCCTTTGGCCGAGAAAGACTGGAGTCTCGCGGCATGAGTCCTGTGTGACTTTGGCCCCGCGAGGGAGTTGTTGCCAACGGCGGGGAGACCTGGCACAAGAAGTGGTTGGCTGCAGAGTACGATAACATGATTGGGTTGCATGATTCACCGGTGTACTCCGTAGCGGGCCAGTTCGCTTCCTATACGTGGAAAATTCCGCATTGAAAGTGGGAGAGTACTGCCAACGTCTCTCCGCATATGCAGGAGGCCGGACCAATATCTACCTATAAAATAGGGCTATCAGAGAGCCAAAGCAAGAAATACCACCCAAGGTGCTAGTGGCATATTCTATTCATTCTTACCTTGCCCTGTACCTCCCCTCCTGGTTGAAACACAAAATCGGATGCCTTGACCGCTGACCTCGTTCGTGGCCGTTCGTCTTTTATAACACATCTAGAACCGTGTTTTCATGGAGGGAACATAGCCGCTGTGCATGTAAGTACCGATGAGCTTTGAATAATAGAAGAATTGTGGGGGAGAGTGAGATTTACCTCTCCAGTGAATGGCACATGATGGTGCTCACACATGCTACCAACTTCAAAGTTCTTGACGATAACCATTCCCTTGTGACTCTCCCAGAAAAAAACCAATTCGAACATATGCTTGAAATTTCATAGCTCTTAGTCAAGAATAACGACACCTTTGCATACCGCGACGGCGTAGCCAGCAGGCCGTCGTGGTTAGGGTCCTCACCCACACTTTCTATCGACAATCTTCATCACCTCATGCTTCTCGCATCCGCTGGTTCTGACATTAAAAGCCAAAATCACGGAATATTTAGGCAATAATTAATAGATTCTAAGTTTAGTCACTCTTTTACGACGTTGCACCTCGAAGTAGCCCCCCCAAGTTTCCATTATATGGGCACAAATATGCATGCATCGGCATAGGCAACTCTGTACTACCAAACCTCGTTTTGCCTTTCGATAGGTACGAGTTACATTGCGTTCGAGTGCCAATAGCTGGCTTGTTTCCCACAGCGACGTCGGTCAGACGATGAGCTAAAGAGGTGGTGAGCCGCCCTTCCCGCGGGTGTGTTATAAGACGCGATGGCCCAGCCACAGGATCAGACCTATAAAGCAGTGGCCTGGCCACCTCGAGCCTTGTTAAGCACTCTTACTTTTCCGTATTTCCATATTCTTACGGACGTACATATGTCGTTAATATATCCTACCATGCCCGACGAAAAAGCCCGCCAGCGTATGGAACGGACCCACGAGCAGCCATACATGAGGGTTACGGACCATCACCTGGGTCTTGATGAGGAACCGCAAGACGGCGGACGCTATGTATGTAACTCTTAAAGACGGCTACGAATGGAGCTGGCAATCCCAGCATAAACACTTGGCAGCATACGAAGATACCCGTGGCGACTGCGAGAGAGACCCTAATAAAGAAGATGACGCAGAGTATTAAGACAAGGCTAAACGGTGGTACGCTTGGCCGGTGCTTAACAAGAAGCAATAACCGCGATAGCTGCGTTGCGCTATGATTATTATCCGCACAATCGACTACCTCTAGCGATGCAGCTCTAGAGCATGCTTAGCGATATGTTGTCGTAGTAGAGTTTATTTTATTTATACCGAAGAGTTTCCATAATTCTATCTGGATATGCCTGAATGGAGGATACGGCACATAATAAAAGAAATCATAACCAGTGATGCCTCCGGATTCCGAGAATAACGGTGTCTAGCTTAGATGGCCGAAAGTCACTTGAACTAGGTGGTTCGCAAATAGGAGGGGGTGTCAATCCGGAACCAAAATTTGGTGTTAACCTTAGGTGATATGTTGCCGTCGCCTTACCATATAAAAGTTATAGAAATAGTTCGGTCCATAGTTGAGCCTTTTTGGAAGTAGTAGCGGGCTGACGGAGTCTGGGGTTCGTGGGAAAGTAGGTGGATTATGATGATAGTGGATTACTAAAGTAGGTGATGATAGATACAAATGTGGTTTGTTGACGATAGTGGCGCGCCTGTACGGCGGGACATTAGATAACACACTGCTAACTATATTAACGCATAACCCCGCACCTTTAACCCGACTTAAATATATACCCCCTCCTATACTTATAAATAGTCTTAATTTCTAAATACCGCTACGCAAGAATATTAAAGATTATTGGGCCTTAATTTTATATATTTTAAATAAGCGCTTTTGAGCGACTAAGTAAGTGATATACTTTGGAGGTTGTGTGGCCATTCAACCAAGATGCATCTACGCTGTGTGTGGGTGTCACGTGCTGGTCACGTACACGCACAGGTACGATAGCGATAAGATAGTATTAATAACGCCGCAGCTAATCAGGCTGCGCGCACACGATCCGAGGAGCAGCCGCGCCATGCCTATTTAGGCTAGCCGACTAGCTGCCTAAGGATATTTAAATTAATTATCCTTTTTTACTTATTTAATCTACCTTTAGTATATTAGAGTAGTAGTAATTCTTAACTCCTTTATTAATTAAATAACCTTAAATAATTACTCGATTAATTATAGGAAGTTCCCTAGTATTTTATAGCTATTCGTTCCCCTTATATTCCGTCGCGCGCTTATTAGATTAGCGCCAAGGGGCTGTGACGAATAGCGTGATAACTTCCCCTACCTATACTATAATTAGGCTGATCTTCCTTATAAAGGATCAGCCTTATAGTACCTTATCGCGTAGAGCCTTAATTAACGCGCGATTAAGCCGCTAATTATACTATAATCGCGGCTATTAATCGGTAAAAAACACGCGCGCGTTACCTTATAAGTGAATTAAACTACGCACCTTTTAATAAAAGTAGGGCATAGTATATACTTTACTATAAGAGGCGCGTATAATTAAGTATAATATTATAAAGAGAGCCCCTACCTATATCGCGGGAATTACTTACTTTCGCGCACTCTTTTAAAGTCTAAAGAATCAATATAATAATAAAAAAATCACTATCTTAATCTTTACCTTATTTTATTAAGTAATATTAGTTAGCTAGATTTATCCGAGGAGGGTCTAAATATTAACTAATCCTATAAGGAGATAGATCTAAAGATAGAGAGAGCTTACGCTACCCTTCCTAAGAGGCGAGCCTCCTAGTAGCTAACGATAAGTTACTAGGCGCTACCATAGCGAACACGGTTAAGTATAATAGAGTCTAAGTCTACTAATAAATATACTTAAATTATTATATTATTACTAACGTTCTAACTTATTATCGGTTATTAGATATCGCGAAATTATAACCTATAATATATCTAGGCTTTCTAGGTCTATACCTACGATAGTAAGGTCGTAATAGAGGGCTAATAAATTTTCCGGCGGTTAGGAAGAAGACTTAACTCTTTTATTACTACTATAGCTATAACCCGCCTTATTAGACCTTCTTCCCTTACTAGACTTTCCTTCCTCTCGGCTTAATAAATCTTTTATTATTATATATAGCGCTAACTTATAAAGTAACGCGCCGCTATCTAGAGAGCTATCTAAAGACCTAGTCGACCCCTTACTAAAAGATTTTTTTAGCGATATAACGCTACGTAAGGTCACCCGCTTAAAGATAAAGAGATACTTATTAACTAAGGCCGACTCGATAAGTACCCTTAAGGAGGCCTTAGAAAATAACCGTTATAAATAGTTTATTAAATATAGAGTAGGGTTACTAAAGGCTATCGAGAGCTACCGAAGCGATATCTAGAGTTACTAATACCTAATAATCGTAAATAACTATATCGCGATCGCTTATAGTAATATTACGGTTATATTAGCGAAGGAAGACCCTTAATATAAATACTTACTCGAAATAGTACTAATAAGCCGAAACTTTATAGAAGAATACCTCGATACTTAGAAAAACGCTAGTTACTTTTAATATAAGAACCCGCTTATTAT